TTGAAGAGACCCAAAACAGTGTGAACGACACGATTAATTCTAAAGTCTAAACCTCACCTTGATCCTTCCATTGGAATGCGGCTCCAATATCTCCGATCATCGATTCCTGTTATAGCCAACCCATTTGATGATATCAACATACAAGTCTTGCCTGTGCTCTTATCCAACCACACTTTCTGCATAAAAATCCAAATGTAAAGAGCTCCTGTTAACAATTGTCTTAATCCCCCATAAACCATTTTCTCTTATCACCAAACCAAATAAAACCAAGGGTCTATCATCTTCTTAAGAAGAAACCCCTTTTTTTCTAAACAAACTATTACAATTACCAAAACATAAACTCTTTATCTCATAACCCCAAATCAAATATTCAAATCAAAACAAAGTGCCTCATCACCTTTAAAAGGAACAATTATTTTCTAAACAAACACTAACAATTACCACAAAACAAAAATGAAAAAAAAAATCAAATATCCCCACTTATTCAAGAAAAACAATTCCTCAATTTTCCTTAATTCAAACCTAAACCCAAATAAGAGGGTTCTATAATAAAAACACAGATCAACAAAAAACAGCAAAAAAAGATCATACCTTTGTGCCACCATCCAAATAATTAGGCCTACAAAGCCTGGAATAAATATCCCTCTTGCAGAGACCTTCACAAAAGCCTTCATCTTTCTCAAACACTTTACCAATAACATCTCCATAATTCGAGGGCAGCTTCGACTCCCAGACGAAATCCGCCGACGACGCCCCCCTAAAAGCCCGGTTCAGCATCGCCATCCGGCAGATCTGCGGCGGGTCCAGATGCGCCAGCACCGTGGCCACGCAGCTCTCCGGCAGGTCCCCCAACCCGGTCCCCAGAGACCGGTCTCCGGCGGAGGTTCTGCTCCAACCCATTACTGAAAACGATGAACCCATTTCATAAGAACCAATGGAATTGAGAAATTTTGGGGAAAAATGGAACTTCTTGATGAGGATAGATATAGAGAGAGAAATTGAAGATAACGAGAAAGCCATTTGGGTGTGTATATATATAGTAGGGAGCTGTAAACGTACGGGTGTTTCTCTGTGTTTTTTGGTCTTCCATTTAATAATTTTTGTATTTTAATTTACTTTTTACATAATTATGGATGGAATTGTATTGAGAGTGTGTGATTCGTTGAATAATTTTTTGGTTTTATCATAAATGCTTTTGGATTTGATAATTGTTTTTGTAGTAATTGTCACTAGTGCGTGGCCCGTGCGATGCATGGGAAAACAATATTACGATTGTAATATAAATTAAATATATAAATAACATTAATCATGATTTATCCATTGTTTTTAAATTAAACCGATTTGGACACAGTCCGACCGGATGGACCGAGGACCGGTTTATAACCAGTCTAGTTCGCTCGAATAAAATATTTGCTCTCGAATCTGTCAATACCAGTCGGTTGGACTGGTAGGATCGATACGATTTTCTAAATAAATTTTGTTATATTTAAAATTATTTTAAATAAAATTAAATATTTAAATAAAATAGAGATTTATAAATTATTTATCCATTAGTTTAAACATTTGAATTTATAAATTGTTTAGATATCCAAGTAACACATTTTATTTGAATTTGTTACAAAAAGTACTATATATATATATATATATATATATTAAAATGTTTATAAATTAAAATCTGAACAAACCACAAATGATTTAATAAAATAGTTTGATCGTTGCGATGATGGTCCAGTTCTAAAAATCTTATATTTAATATACATCAATAAATATATAATAAAATATTATTTAATTCACATAAATATTAATAAAATGATATATAAGTATTCATAAATCATTAAACATGTTGTAATAAAAGTATTGTTAATACGATTATTTGAAGTTTGGACTACATCACATTCACGAAATAAAATATTTTCAATATAAAATTTATATTTAGGTTCAATAATCGATTTAGCGTGGTCGAACTGATACATAACTTAGTCACCTGGGACCAACCATGTTGTGTCAAATTTTTTGACTATCTTAAATATCACCTAAAAGTAATTCAATCAACCTGGGCAGTACCCAAATTCAATCACCCGATTGATCCGAAGAAATTTTCTTATTTTCTTTAAATATATTTAATCTTATGAAATAAAAATATTTTATGATTCATATAATAAATTTCTACACCAAATCATATTATATTAAGATTATAAATTATATATCTAAAGATGAATTAATTATTTTTACTTTATGCATATTAATAAAAAATAAACATAGTAACTTTCAAAAAATTAAGATTAATTGATTGATTATGCAATTTAAAAATATTTTTAGCGTTCAATATATTTTTTTATAGGCACAAATATAAGGACTGAGATTCTAAAAGTTTTGTTATATTTGGAATTGAGATTTTATAAATATAGAGACCGAGATTTTAATGTTGTTCGTTATTTCTAAGAAAAAAATAAAAATAAAAACATACACACTTAATAAATCTTAGCCGGCTTTTTTAAATAACGATATTTAAGGTAGAATTTAATGTTGTATGATTTTTAAAGAAAAAAAAATAAGAAAAATAATAAAACTTACTATTTATAAACTGCATTAAATTCTGACCTATTTTTTTGCTACTATTTTTAGTAAATGATCATTCTTATTATATATATATATAGATTATGTAAATTAAGACATTTTAACGGGAACGTTGTATTTGGAAATATGATTACTTTAAAGATAAAGATAAGATTATGCGAATAGATTAAATATGCATTGAACCCATGAAGGTAACACAAATACACAATAGTTGATATCCTGTTTATTAGGAAGTTGAATCAATATATGTTTGTAAATATAAATAATTAATAATTGCTATTATGTGTTTTTTAATAAAATTATTGCTTATCGGGATGTTTCTGCAAAAAGTGAGTATGAACATTATAAGCATTAAAAAGTAAGCAAATTTATTTTATTACTTACCCCACTAAATAAATATAAAAGAATTATTATGTAGGCAGCTTTCGCCTTTCGGCTAGCTACACCAATCGACAGGTACAAACCCAACACAAGGTTTTCAAAACCAAATGCCCCCACAATTAATTAAATATCTACACAAATATGTTATCATTATCTCACTGATTGACTAGCATACCAATAATTTCAAATACATTGGATGACACGTAGGAGTAGTATGTATGGATAGATGTTTGTAACACAGTATTAACTTTTGGAAAGATTGTCATAGGTTTTTTTATTTTGGGTTGCATGTGTATCAATTGCACTGAAATATAGAAACAAATAACCAAAACAGTGAATAAGTTACAAAACTAACTCAAGAGTGAATCAAGAAGGTTCCTTGGCCAAGAGTTAATTAGATTCTAAAATTTGAGGTGAGACTAAAAGTTACCGAAAGTGTTTGCGGTGGTACTGCAAATCATCTTAAAACTACTCATTTGAAATCAATTGATTGACCTAGTTATTAAACGAAATTAAACGAAACGATCAGCTTGTAAGTTTAGCCTCAAGTCCGAAGCTCTTATAGTTGACTAATTAGGACTCGTTAGACTCGATAATAATAGGTTTTAAATAATTTTTAGAATTTTTTAACTTAGTTTAACTTGTTAAAACTCGAGTTCAGCTCCTTCATTTTGACAAATAAATTGAGATCGAACTCGTTTATCAGCTCTATTAGCGAACAAAATTAAGGCTCGAGCTTGAATATCAGGAGCTCAACTGGACTCAATTCGTTTGCAGTTCTAATTATGTTATCCGACAATTTTTTAAAATCATCTTGAAACTCATCTAAATTCCACTGTGAGCCTAAAACTATTAATAAATGAGTCGCTCGTGATATTGACTCATTAATTAACGCTCTTGAGCTCGTTAAACTCAACTTGGTTCGTTAGGCTTAGTGCTGTTAAATTAAACGAGTTTGGCTCAACTCGGCTCGAGCTCATTTAAAGCTCGTTTGGTTAACGAGCCGAGTTCGGTTCGGCTCGATAAGGCTGAAAAAGAAAATTTTTATATAAATTTTTTATAGTTAGACTCATAAAAGTTGGAGATCGACTTGTTAAGACTCAAACTCGGCTCGTTATTAGTGATAAATGAGTCGAGCTCGAGCTCAAGGCCTAATTAGACTCAAGAATATGATTTTTTACGTAATTTTTTAAACTGTTAATGTAGATCATCTCGTTAAGGCTCGAAACTAACTCATTAAGTTAATGAATCAAGTTCAACCTAACTCAACGATATTTGGAGCTCGGCTCGACCCGACTGGGCTGGTTTATCGATGTTGGTGGGCCCACATCTGTCTTCCTAAGATTGTGATAATTGGCTTTTAAACAAAAAAATAAATAAATAAATAAAAGGTCGACAACTTTGACAAAGTTCTCAATTGGAACAAAAGTACCATAGCCAACAACTGATGTTGTCAGTGGAAAACACGCTTTCTATATAAAAATATGAACAAATTGCAAAACGGATGAATGAGTAAGGTAGGGATGGGCTGAAACTAATTCCTGATACTAAGAGAATGGGCTGAGAAATCTCACAGATAACCATCCGAGCTTTAGCGAAATGGACATCTGGGTGCAAGCGTGGAACCTACCGCTACACTGGCACTCAACAGAAGTGGGCATGAAGCTGGGAAAAGCCTTCAAGATGGTCAAGAATGTGAATGTCCCAAGTGGAGGAAATCTGGCAGGCAAATGCATTAGAATTCTAGCAATCATCGATGTTACCATCCCTCTCCTTAGATGTGCTAATGTGCAATTTGAAGACAGAAAGGTACTGGTGCAGTTCAAATACGAAAGTCTCGCAAACTTCTGCTTTTACTGCGGGTGTATTGGCCACATAGACAAATCATGTGCTAAGAGAGAATAAGACATTATCAAAGATAGCTTGAAAGAAGGGTTATTTGGAGAGTGGCTAAAAGCCACTGAAAGTCGGTATCCATCATCGCCACGCTCATCTGCCTCCCCTTCACACACAACTAGTTATTTTCACTCCCCCAACCCCATCAAACAAAGCCAAACCCAACCCACTCATAGCCAAACTCTTGCTGTCATTAACACCCAACAATCACAACAGCATGATAATGACCCTCCCCCAACATATCCCGCACTAAACCAACCACTTCAACCCATCATCCCAAATAATGAAAATTCATCACCTGGAAAAATAATCCCAACACAACCCTCAGACATGGAAACAGAATTTCCAACTTCCCTTCCCCATCCCTCTACCACCCTTCAATTACCTCTCTCATCAACCCCTACCATTATAAACCCTCGTATCACCTTAGCCAAGGATACTGAGCTCATTGCTAACATATTCAAATCACCACCTCAAACCTCACCACCCATTCGTCCTGATCACACCTCTACCCCCTTTCAATTACCCCTCCCATCAACCCCTACCATTATAAACCCTCATAACACCATAGCCAAGGATACAGAGCTCATTGCTAACATATCCCAATCACCACCTCACACCTCACCTTCTATTCATTCTAATCACATCTCCAACTACAAAAAGTCCACATCCCCAACTCCCAGCCCCAAAGCTAACCCAACAAACAATTCCTCAAAATGGAAAAGGAAAAATTCAATCAAAACCACTAAAAACCCTACACTACCCATTGCCACTAGAACTAAAAGAAACCTTGTGATTGAAGAACCTAATCCCTCAAATGCAGAGGTGGAAAGTAATCAGCTGGAACAACAGAGGAAAAAACAGAAACACTTTGATGTCAAGGTGGAGGCGGCCAGCCCTAAATGGCCCCCACAGTCTAAATGAGAGTTGCCGTGTGGAATTGTAGAGGTGCGGGTGGCCCCTCTACAATTCCCCAGCTGAAGGAGATTTGGAGGCTCCATCACCCGAATTTTGTCTTCCTTTCTGAAACATAAAAAAAAACAATAATTTTCTTTTCACAGTCTGTAGAAGTTTAGGTGTGAGTAAAAGTTGGACTTCTGTTGAACCAGTTGGTAGAAGTGGAGGTCTACTACTATTTTGGAACCCTGATGTGCAGGTGTTCAAAATCATCAAAACCCAATTCAGCATAGAGGTAGAATTTTGGGATGAG